CGTCTTGATCAATGGCTTGTTTGACGGGTACTATCAGTCTTACGTCGATTCTGTATGGGAAAAGTACACGTCCCAAGACTTGACTGTTAATACTCAGTTCAAATGGGGGAACGCCGTTGGTCGTGTCAAGGACGGCAAACTGACCTTTGGCTCGGTTGGTTCCTTTGCTAAACCGTCAGCGTCTGATATTTTCACTTGCAGCACTGGGCCGTTCGCCGGTGGCAAAGGTGTATCCGATGAAATGCTCAACATTGGAGCACGAATTGCTGCTGCATTTAACCGCTCCACGCTGCTGGTGAATGCGGAACAGCCCGAAGGCGAAAAGGTAGATACGTATTACAAGGACGCGGTTACCAATCACTACTCGCGAATCTGCCACCAGGTCAGCGTCCAGAGTCGAGGTTACGCGTTCCCCTACGATGATGTCGGACCGTCATCTGGCGAGGACCAATCTGGGTTCGTAAACGATCCAAACCCCCAGGAACTGACAGTTTCCGTCGGCAAGCCCCTCCAAGGCTAGACCACCCGTGACTATTTTCCAGCTACAGGAAGGGTGCTGGATTCAATGTGTAAATTTATTCTTGGCACGGTCAGCTACCGTATTCACTCAAATTGCGAGCCTCGAGGGGCACGTGTACATGTCCATGTCCATGTACGGAGTATATATGATTGAGAGATTGAGAGAGAGAGAGCTGTATATACTGCTGCTTTCACAGCTGAATTGTGTATATATTACGAGGCACGGATTGTTTGCGGTCTGTCATTTTGTGTATATATGTTCTTTTTTTATATATGGAATTTTTTATTTCTTCCACTACTTCTTGCCTGGCCATCTGGAGCACGAATTGCTGGAAATCGGCCGGACCGTTGCCAGTAGGCAGCACCGAGCCTTGTTTTCCTAGGGCGTTTCGGGACGTTTTGACCATTATAGAGGCGAAGAGATAGCACAAACGTAGTTTCAGTACAAACAGTTCCAGACCATGACTGTATGGACTAGTGTGTAAATACCTAGGTAGGTGGATGGCTTACACACCTAGGTAAGCGGGCAATGCTCGTGAGCCAAGTTACTACGAAGCCTTGGTCGCCAAGCGTGGATGACCACTCGGGACACATGCAGAATTGGTTTAGGCAAGACGACTGACTGCCTATTGATGGATGACTGGAACGAGGAAAACTGGTCGAGGGGGTGGAGAAAGATGGCTCAAAAGGGTCAAATACAGATGCATGTTGTTGGTTGAAGAGTTCGCTGAAGGCGCTCGGGAAGGCCGCTCCAACCACAAGCCAAAACCAACCAGTGGCACAAATCACAGGACGGCTGGATGACGGCTGGATGAGCCTGACGTGAAATTTGGGGGCGGTTTCCGGGGCCGGTTGGGGTGGGTGGGTGGCTTGCATGCAAGTGTGCAGAGGGATGATGTGCATCGTGGTGCTGCCGTATCTAGGAAAACATATTGCGTAGCCGGTGAGTTCTGGACCTTGCATGTCGTACATGTATAAAATCTGCCTACAAAATATATTACTCCCGTATCTACCTAGGTAGTTGACGTGCCATCTGTACAAATACGGAAGAGTAAGGCATGGCTTGGGGGTCCGTTGACGAGGGATAAAGTTGGGGGGCTGCATTTGACAATCTCAATGTAACCCCCAGGCTGCAAGGTCTCGTGGGATTAGAGAGACCACTACTCCGTACCACTTGAGACTTCTATCCGTCAGCGACCAAGTGAACGAGCCACTGAGTAAAAAAAAAAGTACACTGACGAGCTCCTTGGCTAAATTTACCATTCCTTGTGCAGTTGTGTATTGTTACTTTGTAACTGGTTATTCCAAAGTTTCCCATATGCTTCAAGTGGCCTCGAGTGCTTTGCAAGGACTAGCAACGCGCTCAAGCGCTTCTCCCGCGACGCCACACTAAAATGCCGCAGCCGGATTCCCGCCCTCACCAATTGATTGATAGCACCGTACAGTAGCTGCGCGTCGTTGGCTCCTTCCCAGCGCCCAGCGACCCGGTTTCCTAGAGTCAAGTCCCCTCCTCCTCCTCTATTTTTATTCCAGTCAGCATACGGAGTACTCCGTACTCACCCCCATATAAACATGGCCACGTGGTAGAAGCGACCAACATTCGCCATAATACAACGGTGCAATGCTCGATGGCCCGTTCCAGCTGACAATGACAACATTCTCTTCAACAGTCATCATCTCGATGCCTTCATAGAAGCTTGTCGTCAAACATCACTCTGTATGTGCCTGGAGCCTCTGCGCCCCCAACTCGGCCCAACCTCAGCTCCTTCTCAGCCCTATCCGTACGGACGGCAGCCTCATTTCTCTCTCTCCTTTCTCGGCACAGTGCTCAACCGAATTCATTGTTGGCTAGTTTTTGACCCAAGAGGAAACATTTCTCTCGCAACCTTTTCCCACCATGGTGTATTGTGGAAAGCCCTCCAAGGGCTGTTCCAACTGTCGAGAGCGCAAGATACGGGTGAGTTCTCAATGCGCAACGCTCGCGCCTCTCGCATCAAAGGCTCCATCTCATCATATCCTTAAACCTTTTTCTTATACTCCTCCTGCATTGTAGTGCGACCAGAGAACCCCTACCTGCGGCCAGTGCGAAAAGCGCCAGCAGAAATGCCCTGGATATCGCAACATTGTTGATCTCATGTTTCGGGATGAGAGCCACCATGTCATCAAGCGAGCTACCACAACCCGAAGGCGACCCAAGAAGGCCAGACTTGCCAGCGCTATTATTCCAGACACGCCGCCATCCCCGACTCGGTCTTCACTATCTTCTTCGCCGTCTTTAGCTATCCGACAGCCCCAACCATTTTTGGGCGAGGCGTCTCCATCAAGTGAGGAGGACTACGCTGCTGACTGTGCCCGGGGAGAGACTCGTGTGAGCCTTTCCGGCAGCAGTCATCGAGACTACAGCAGTCGAACCTCCACCGCCCTCACCGCTACTGCCATCACCAATACTAGCAGAATCCCGTATGGCCCGACGGATTCTCTGCAGGAGCGTGGCATAGCCTTTTTCTTCGCTCGCTATGTTGCCACTGACCACGGCTGCTACCAAAATTATGACTTCATCTACGATGTATGGAAACCGCCGCCTACCTATGACACGGATTCGACCGACTGCATCACTGCTAGCATGACGGCTGTCGGCCTCACCAGCTTATCGAAACTCACTCGATGTCCCGAGACGTTTAGACGGGCCCGCCAGAGCTATACTATTGCACTCGGCCTTGCCAACTTAGCTCTCAGCAACCCAACCGAGGCGGTCAAGGATAGCACTATGCTGGCCGTGCTTATTTTGGGAACTTATGAATTTGTCTCTGGCCGTACCCCGCAAACCATTAGGGCCTGGCAAGATCATGTCAACGGTGCCGCAACCTTGGCGAGCATGAGAGGAGCTGCCCAGTTTCGCACCAAGGCTGGAACCAGAATGTTCATCATGCTCTGCCACACTGTCCTGATCAGCTGTATCCGTAGCGGCTTACCAATGCCGCAGTCTATGGTCGACCTCCGAAACGAGTTGTGGCACTTGACTGACACCAGTGGTCCCATATGGCGAGTTGTTGACACATTGTACAATGCACTGCAAGTCCGGCATGATATCAAGTCTGGCAAGGTTTCGGGGGTTGACGCTGTTGTAAAGAAGCTGTGCGATGTGGAAGACCAATTCTCGGCCTTGATCGCGAGCCTTCCGCCCGGGTGGTACTATCGTCAGGCGAAGCTATCCAAGCCACATCCGGCCGTTTTGGGAGACACCTGCCACATCTATCGGGGCCTTACTCAAGCAACTACCTGGAATGGCATTCGTACCATGAGGATGTTGGTCCAGGAGACTATTGTCGAGGTTCTCTGCGGCAGTACCGAAGACCCGACAATGCTGCCAAACCATTACCAGCTTCAGCTTGTCAAAGCCATGAAACTCATTCAAATGCTGGGTGAAGCATTTGTTTCCAGCGTGCCACAGCACTTTGGGATTGTCAGTGGCAAGGATATCGTTCGCGACAGACAAGGTCGCCACACCGTCGCGCCTGTACCTACCACCCAGCTTCCGCACCGGATCCTATCGCCATCGGATCAAAAAGCATTACCCGAGGCCTCTAGCAGCACCGCAGGCACCGCTTCCTCCCTCTCGGCCGCCGCATCTCGAAAGCCTACTTTGTTTGATCCTACCCAGTCAAGCGGACATGAGAAAGGAGCAGAACGGTTCCTGACTTTGGCTACAGCTAGTCATACCATCATATGGCCACTCTATACGCTCGGCATGTCGTCCTCGACGACGCCTGATACACTTGCATATGTTCTGGATCGCTTAGAGGCCATATATCAAGAAACAGGATTTGAACAGGCCCGCGTCGTGTCTAACATTGTCAAGGAGCAAGTTCACACACTGCTGTGGGATCAGATTCCAACCTCGAAACTGCCTTCTCTACCGGACACTGCATTGCCAATGATAGTGTGAAACACTGTAGTAGTACGATCGAAATGATGATGGCTACTTGTTGTTGATGTAATTTATCTCCAATGTATGCTATGCTTATAAATCCACCATTTATGGGTATTTGAATCCACCAATTTAGCGAGGGCATCATTCAGCGTTGCAGTTTCGCATTAGGTAGTTCCCTTCTATGGCAACGTCGCTGCTTACAGCGGCGCTATGTGCTCAAATTCATTGGATATACTGAAGCTTCCTTATTGTATCAGCTTTTGTTTCTTGTATATATTTTTTAAACCAGATAAGGACGGGGTGTGAAAGGACCGGTGTTGGATAACCACACCAGAATCGAGAAAATGTGGACGAAACGGAAAATCAGGAATAAGAGTACTCAGTATTATAAACGGAGGGCGGTTGACTCTTGTGAGATGTGTGATTTTACAGTTTCTAAACAAGACAGTACAGTCAACTTGTTTATGCCCACACCGATCAACTCCATAGATATCATTACACTCGACTTGATTTGGGGGTACGATCTGTGCTGTTGGGTGCATCTCCTCTGCTACCAACTATCAAAGTTGCCAAAACCTCCACTTCCCTTCATCTTCTTCCGCACTGGCTCTTCCCAACCCTCCAGCCAAGAGCCAAGAGCCTCTGACCCGTCACTCCCATAACCTGAAACAGAATCTTTATTTAAATATTTGCCCACACTGTCCTTTCCGTCGGCCGGGACGATGGTCCCATCCCCCCGTATCCGCTTCCCCGTCCAAGTCGTCCTGTCGTCATCAGTGCCGCCCTTGCGACGGATCTCTTCCTGCTCGTGTTCTTGCCGTTCTTGTTCCTTCCTCTGTGTCTGGAACTCCTCGAAGGGGTCTACGAACACGACCACGTCTCTAATGAATATTTTGTTGAGAGGTCTGTTGGACCCGTCCGTCTGAACCGCCTCCATCTTGGAGAGGACGTCCTTGCCGTCGACCACGAGTCCAAATATCGTGTGTTTCCGGTCGAGATGGGGTGTTGCTTTGTAAGTAATGAAGAATTGGCTGGAGTTTGTATTTTTTCCCTTGTTGGCCATGGACACTGTGGTGAAAGAAAAGGGCGGGGGACGTTTGTCAGCGAATCGGCGGCCATGAACCAAAGTGAGATAAGTAAAGTCGACAAACGGGATATAATGTACTCACATATGCCTCTGGTGTTATGCGTGTGTGGCCCGTCAAACTCGTCATTGAAGTACTTGCCCCATATACTTGAGCCTCCCTTGCCGGTCCCCGACGGATCACCACCCTGAATCATAAAGTTGGGTATATTTCGATGAAAGGCGACGCCTTTGTAGTAGCCCGTCTGCGCCAGCCTGACGAAGTTCCAGACTGCTCTCGGCGCCGTGTCGGTGTGTAGCTCAACGGTCAAGTCGCCCAGGTTGGTCTCTATGCGAGCGTAGCCCTTGGTTTTGACCCGCTTCGGCTTGAGCATGAACTCCTCATCGGTCAACAAGGCCCGCTCGCCGCTGGTTTCCGGCGTCAAGCCAGTACTCGTGAAGCTCGCGGCCGCCTTTCCGGTGGTGTAGGCAGCTGCGTTTGCGGCCAGCTTTTTGTTCTTGATGGCAGGCTGGGATGCCGCCGTGGTCGACAATGGACCCGTCGATGTGGCTGAGGGTTTTGCCAAAGCGCCAGAGCTCCGGTTGACATCTCCCCCGGCTTCTCGTGCTTTGCGGGCCTTCTCAACAGCGGCTTTTGCCTTCAGCACCTTGTCTCCCATGCTTCCCAGCGCGCCGGCATTGACGCCACCTGCACTGCGCTCCTCCTCTTGCGCCTTGGTAAGCTGTGCCCCTTCTCCGTCTCTGAGGTACTTGAATTGCTCGAGATTACGACTAGCGGCATTCTGAGGATCTTGCAAGGTAATAATATCGGCTCGGGTAAACGGCTCGTCGTCGACGAGGTCCTGCCACAGTTTGGCCTTGATATTCATGCGCTCTACCGTCTCCCACGCAAACACATTCGCATACGTGCCATGGCGAATAGCCACAATGTGAGTGTTGTCGGTGAAGATTTTGTAGGTCACTGGATCGATCAAGTCGCCTTTGCCGTCGCTCAGCCCAGCACCGAGGGAGTCTGAAGTAGCATTGCGCGCAAAGTTCAAGCGGATCAAGTCCTTCTTGTGAAGGGGTTCGCCATTAACGGGATTTTGGTTTGGGTGTTTCTCGAGCCATGCGCTTATGACCTCGACATCGAAAATGGTGCCATCGGGCGTACAAACTGGGTTCTTGAAAGGTTGGAGACTGGCGGCGCAAAAGTTAAAGGGCAGACGACGAAATGGAGCAGCCCCAGGTCCGCCCAGTGACGAAGACTTGGCGCCTGCACTGGCGGAATAGGCACCCGACGACGACCACTCGGAATGTGTAATCTGCGACGAGGGAGAGGGTTAGCAGCAGCAACGGAGAGACAGAGAGAGAGAGAAAGAGGTTGATGGAGGGCGGGCATTGTGTCCTACATAGAGCTTGTCAGTCCCCTTTCCCATAATTCCTGTTGAGAAGCTGGATGTGCTACAGAGCTATGGAAGGACAGCTATCCTGATTAGCTCCCGAATCTGGAGAGACTACCCGATGTGGGAGTGGTTGGTGATTTCAATCCAAGGTCATGTTTTTGCTGTTCTACACACATCTCAGAGAGTGTTGTGGCTGGGTTCGTGGCTTGACTACGGTATTCGCCGCCACTTGCGCGCGCTTGTGGTCAAATTGGATCTGCTGAAACCCACCCAGAGTTTAAATAGCACCGTCACAAGGAAGGGACTCCCGAACCTGAGCCATTAGAGGCTCAAGGAAATGCATGCCTGTGGGAACAAGGCGACAGGCAGGCGACTTCTTCCCACAGGCATGCGATGCCGCCGAAGTTTCCAAACCGACACAGGGCCTATCTCGTTGACCCTGAGCGCCGATGGATTACTTTGGAGACGAATACGGGGTACCTTGACTGGAAGTGGCCTTTCAAGGGCATCTATTTAGCTGCGACACTCAACGAATCGTTATGCGCTAGCCCATGGTACAGGCAGAACTGCAAGGAAACTCTATTGGGAGTGAGAATGCTATTGGCCTGCACACGAGGAGGACGGGTGGCTTTTAGGGAGCACCACGTTCATCCGCGCCGGAGAGGTCGTTCATGTATTATGTATGACCTTCGGAACGTCATCCGTACTGAGATAACGTGTAAGTGGGCGCTGGGGCGCGATTCGAACGAGTATCTAACCTCTCAGGGGCCCGGACTTTTCATACAAGAGTTGCTTCACCGTCCTTATTTATCCATTATAGAATTCGTGCCAAGCATAAGCATCGGGTAAAATATTTCATTTCACCAGTGACTTGAGGAAACACAGGCAGCTTGAAGAAAATATAGAGCAAGGTCACTCCTTCCCTTTCCCTCCGTTGCCTTGCCTCTCTTTCGTTGCGCGTCTTTTCCAGATGAAGACACCTGTTGAAAGGTATCCGCCTTGGCAATCCTCTGCGATGGCAGCTCATAGTTGGGATGGAATGTACCGCCCGCCCGCCTGAGATGCTGAGCCCCTCTGCCCGATGACGAGGCTAGCGCCTCAGCCTTTTCCCGTGCCTCCATCGCCTGTTTCCTAAAGAATCGTTAGCCTCATATTAATAAGAAGAGGCTAGACTGTCACGGACCTTTCAAAGTCGAAGAAGGCAACTGGGAGATCACTCCTGCTTGTCATCAACGTGTAATGGAGACCATTTGTTGTTCGCTGGTACGCGTAATTCTCGTTGAGGATGACATCGTTGATTTCCCACAGACGCTTTGTTTCGAACTGTTGTTTAGATTGTTTGGACATGTTCACCGCAAGGAACGCGTGCTTACATTTGGGGTGTTGGGACACACGATCAGTCATAGTGAGAAAGTGGCGAATACCTTCTATTTCAAGACCAGCATACCTACCTAGGTAGTTAGTTAGTAGTTCTCTGCCTAGAAGCACATGCAGAGTCTCCACCTGCGTGGGTTAGCTGCTGCCTAAATCCTAAGCACCGAACAAGTTTTGACTACATATCACATCTGCAGATGCAAGAGGAGTTGTCCGCGTCCCGGGGGAGTCTGGCAAAGGTCACTACTGCGGCATGCGGGATACGTAGTACTACTCAAGGAGGAGTCATAATTGATCAGGTGAGGTTATACGCCCAGAACCGCCATCGGTGGCCGAGATAAAGCTGTTGTGATGTTCACCTCGGAGTTGCATAGTCCGATTGCGGGGCTTGACGGCATAGACAATGCCACTATACATGTTCTGTAAAAGTGTCAGGCGGCTAGAAATACCTATGTAGCCGGCCTAGAGGTCGATGTTGGGCGTCGTCTGTACCCCTAGCCAGCTTCAGGGATATTGTCGGGCCTGCCACCTGAGATGGGCCAGATCTGGGAGGTTGGAAGTAGCTGATAGCATCCGGGATGCGAGTAGCCTTCTTAAGATGGGCGGTGCATTTCATTTGTTATCCATCTATCTGGAGCGAACCGAGAATACATCCAGTAAGGCCTAGAGTATGTGTTAGGCTAATCAAATGCGAAACGTCTTCTGTTAATTGCGAAGACGGGCCTCATGCGAGGCCACTATGAGTAGAGATTTGAATGTGCGAGAAAGCTTTCGCGAATTTGGAAGAACTTGGTGGCACAGCTGATCTATGCTAGCATTCATCACTGTGCTAGCAACCCCATCTCCCAAGCATTTCTCTGTATGAAGCAAACCCCTGTGCCAAATCGCCTTTGGCAGCCCAAACTGTTATCCCTCTTTGCACTCTGTATTGTCAACTGAGCGCCGGTTTCCCAAAGGCCTTTTTGACCTGCGCGATGTAATCCTCCTTGTCCCTGAGTTTCTTTTCAATAAACCCCTGGGCTCCAAACCCCCAATAAGAAAAGAAGACATGGTCGAAAATGGATCCACTGCAATGCTCCTTGTTGAAGAGCGGCTGGATATTGGCATTGAAGACTCTGAACATGCCCTTGGGTACCTTGATGGCCTGGAAATACCAAAAGCTGCCTGTCTCCCACACACGGCGCATGATAGGACCGTGAAGCAAAACGCCATTCCTAGCCTTTTCCTCGGCTTCGTATATATCAAAATATTCATTGAACAAAGCGCCTAACTCAGAGACAGATTCGGTATCATCGAAAGCGTCGATGGGCTTGGACGCAAGCCAGTAGGGTGGAAGCTGCATTTCTATGGGTTGCGACTGCGCCCACTCAAGGTCAATAATAGTCTGAATATTCCACTGCTCGTCAACGAAGATGTTGTTTTGTTGGAGATCCGTAAGCGTGTAATAGAAGGGGCCGCCTCGATAATCTGTACGAATAAATCGGTGCATAATGGCCCGCAGGGCAGTTAAAGCCGCAAGCTGCATTTCGCCATCGTCTTGGTTATGAATGGCGTTTGGCTGATGGAGCAATTTGTTATCATGTAGGCCAAGAAAGTCGGAGATGTAGGGCTCAATTGAAGAGTAAGTCCTCTCCCGTGGGATGCCGGATGGAACGCCTTCATTCTCGAAAAGCTGGAAGTACATATCCAGTGGGCGGTTTGACAGACTGACAACGCCTGTCGAGTCAAGGCTAAGCGAACCAATTCGTGGCAAGGGATTTTTATTCATTGATAGGCAGATGCGCGCTATGCCACGTAAAAGTCTCTGTCGGTAAGCTTTATCGTGTCGATGCTCTTCCCAAGAGGCAGCAAGAGCGCAGCCCTTGGCCTCGCCGAGGATCATATACCCCGAGTCGAAAGAGTTTCGCAACCCACGTCGTATGTAGTGAGACGGGACCGGAAAGCCGAAGAAGCCAAGTAACCGGCGTCGTAACCCCCCTATCATTCTCGGGAGAAATGGTGTGTTCTGCGGGTGTGAAAACTGTGCAAGTCAGATCATGCTGAAGTAGCCTGGCACATGTGGCATAGAGCTTACGCAGGTTCCGTCGGGAAGACCAAACCCGTGCAGAATGGGAATGGGGACATCGGGACAATGTTGTTGAAGCCATATGTACGTCGCGATTTCGGTTCGCAGCTTTTCTTCCACGTTACCCCGATGCATAGCCTCACCAACCTTATATGGCAGTGGGAAACGGACAAAAACTCGCTCGCTACCGTGACATCTCTTAGTCCGAATAAGGACAGGGAGTACTACGTTGAAACTGCCTGCTTTCCAAATGTCCATAACACAAACATAGCACCAGTCAACGCCCAAGTGATAACGGACCAGAGCTTCGATATCGTCTTTGCGTGCTATCAGCGAGGCCCAGAACTTCTTCTGCTGCCCCGGGTATCGTAGCTGGGCCAGCACGTCGTCATCCTCGTCTAGCGCATCTTCGAGGCTAACTCGCCCTCGAAGCGTCGCAAGGTCGGCCATTGAAGCAAAGCAGGACGGCGTACAAAACCATCTGTCCTATTCCACAAGGTTGATGATGAAAATTCTGAGAAATGAGGTCTCCTAGGGCATATTGGCGAAAATGTTGTCAGGATCATGGCAGCGAAGACATGGAATAGGAGAAATGTGTCCTCGCCTTGTTGAAGTTGATTGACGCTTACTAATATGTTTCAGCCTATTTCAGCAAATCGATTTTTGGACACCTACTCGTGCCCGCCCCACTATTTTAGGCGTCTCGTTTCACTCACCACCTAAAGGTGGTGCTTGACAGTAAGGCGGGCTAATTTTTAACCTAGCAGCTAAATTAACCTCTTTACACATAATGTACACCCTTTTCATCCTAAATTTCTAGTGATTTTAATATAGAATTTTAACGCTATTAACGTGCCTTTTTAGCAGCTTTAAAAAACGCTTATTTAGCTTAGTTATAGCGCTTTTTCTTAGCTACCTTAACTACTTAATAAGTATAAGTAACGCTATTAATAGCCTTTTATTTAATTATCTTACGTGCGTTAACTATAAAAAGAACGCTATTAGTTTATAATATATAATTTTTAATAGCTTTACGTTATTATAATAATAATTAAGCTGCTTTAATACGCCTAAGATCTCTCTTTATTTATATAAGCTTAATAGCTATAATAAGAGAGCTACGAATAAAGCGACTAATATTATATGTAAAATTAGGTTTAAGGGATATATTATATTCTAGGACCTCCTTTAGCTTATTAGTAATCTTATTTATCTGCTATAAGGTTATAGAGGTCTTAAAATTAAAAGAGCTATAATATAATACTAGTAGCAGTAATAGTATGTAAATTACGGCTTATTATAAAAGGGCTTTAATTATAGGCTTTAGGTTATAGGGTAAAATTCTAGTTTTTTAAAAGGCTAATAAAATAATAAAGGTCTTAAAAGCTTATTTTTATATATCTTAAATATAGCTAAGAAATTGAATCTTCGTAATATTTAAAACGCTATCTTAAATAATAATATTTAACGCCTTTATATAATAATACTTTAACAGTTAAAATATTATAATATTAAGAGGTTAAAGGATATATATAAGATATAAGGGTAACGTAAAGGGTATTATATTATATTTTTCATAGTATTTAATGAATTTAATTGTATAATATAATTCGTAGCTATCTAGGATTAAAAGGTAATATTTACTAACTAGCTTTACGAATTCCTAAAAATATTATATTTAAGTAAGCTTAATTTTATTATTTATAAAGCTAATTAAAGAGACTATTATTTTTATATTAGCTTTAAGCTCTTTTATATAATACTATAATTTCATGTGTTTTTACTCTAAAAGAATAAGAAAGGTAAAAATAACTAAGCCTACTATAAAAATACTTTCTATTACTATTATAGTCTTCTTATTTTTTAATATTAAAAATAAATGCGCTCTTTTTCGTTTTATAATAATTAAATAATCTTAGCTAATTTTAATATAAAAGCTAGTCTTATTTATATTTTAAATGTTATTAGAAGGGATTTTATATTATTAAATAATAGCTTAAAGAGCGTTAAAATAAGAAAGGGTTCTCTTAATATCTTTAAAAGCCTTATAATTTAAATTAAGCTTCTTTTAAAGGCACTTATAATATTAATATCGTTAAATAAAGCGTAAAGTTTATTACGATTTAATTAGCTTAAGCGAGGCTATTCATAATACCCTCTCTTTTAAAATATAATTTATAGCGTTTATAATAAATTTAGCTTAAATAATAAAGTTAGCCTTATTAAGGCAATTAATATAATTATATAAAGTAACTTTCTCTTCTTATAAAAGCTTTATATTTACCGCTAAATAGCCTTCCCTAATAGGAATACCGTTATTTCGTTATTAAAGCCTACTATAAGGCACGTTAAATTTTTAAGCTATAGCTTAAAGTTTTACACCTGAATTTTTATTAATAAATTAAAGAGCCTTAATAACGCGTAATTTAACTTCACTTTTTACCTTTAAAACGCTAGTTATAGCTTTTTTCGCGGGTTAACGCGTTAATGTTAAAAAATTAGCCCGCCTTAGTGGGTGGCCCGCCTTACTGTCGAGCACCACCTTTAGGTGGTGAGTGAAGCGAGACGCCTAAAATAGTGGGGCGGGCACGATTAAACGTACCGAAAAGTAAGTTATCAATTGTACCGTTCACGTCTCAGTGGGCCAGTGGGGCAGGTGGCTAGTAAAGGACGCTCAGCTACTCCGTAGAGCTTCAGACTGCCACGTCTCCACGACCAAGCCTCGACTTCTCGGGCGCAGCAATTCTTACACAACACCGACAATCGCAGAATAGTCCTGCTTTCGTGACCGGGATTCAGGCGATTCGGAATCCCACACGATATCAATATTACATTATCGCTCACTGGATCCTACTCCGACACTCGCGCCCTGAAGAGATGCTCATCACATTCCGGAGCTGCCACTCGAGCTGAGGACTTCATACGAACCTCCAACATCCTATTCTACCTAATAGCCCACTGCTACGCTCAACCACCGGCCTCATCAAACCGCTGTCGCACCGACGAAACCGAGCCCCAGGTGGCAACACCTACGTTCTCTCCCTGTTACTTGCGCTTCTCGACATAGGCGTCTCATTCCCCCGCTGGTTCGATCCTGCCCACGCAGCGATCTTGCTGCAGCTCTCTGTCCACCATGAGGCTCTTCCTCGGGCTCCTTGCCTTGGCCTTATCCTTCTGGACGTCCTTGGCCCACGAAGTTGCCATTGTGAGCTTGCATAATATGCCACCTACCTTGAGAACCCTACTCTGACGGCTTTTGTTCCATGACAGGATGACACAGATGCCAATCATCAATATTGCTCTGGTTCGCAACCCCTTGGCCAGCATTATCGCGACCCATCTAACAAACTCTTGTAGGCATGTACAGTCGGCAGACATGGGGCGGACCGATTGACCCATTTATCCTCGTCAAGTTTTTCAACTCTAGTATACCAGAAGGCACCGACCCCATCGTGAGCTTGATAATCTTCCAGTGGCGAGATAATAAATTTGTTGGCGTCCCTGACCCAGATGGCCAAAGACGAGTACGAGCCCGCCCCCCCTTTCGTTTGCCAAACTCCCAATGCTGCGTTGTATCTTTGCATTTCTGATGATCGCGATATATCTAACCATTTCTCCTTCTCCCAGCAGCTACCCATTTGTACCGAGGAGTTTGTAAAATCTGGACATTGCAATACCACTGATATCGGCGAGTTTGTTGTTTCTCACAATGCCACCGAGAAATCAAACGCCCTCATCTTGACAAAGGCTGTTCATCTCAAGGACGCGAGTCCAATTCAATATTCCTTGAAGAAGACTGGATATTACTGTGTTGTGACACAGGGCTACACCATCGACAAGTACAACGCTGTTGTTGAATTCCGAAATGCTTACGGTGAATTACAAGCCACCCAGATTCCCAAACTACCTTTCTACGGCGCCATGTCCATCATCTATGCGCTCATGGCAGGATACTGGGGCTTCCTGTACTACCAGCATCGCCATGACATCTGTATGTCTCGGTCACTCACTGCCTTTTGAAAAACAGAATACCCAATCGCAATGCTCTAACACATCTCCAGTGGCGGTCCAAAACTACATAACGGCGATATTAGTCTTTCTAGTAGTGGAAATGCTCATTACATGGGGTTACTACGGTTTGTTCAGCCTACAACTGCCGACAAGGGCCTAGACCTTGTGCGCTTTTACTAACTTATGCCACTAGATTTTCAAAACAACGGAGGCTCCGGCGTGGGATCCAAGGCCTTCCTCATTGTAGTCGGCATCCTGAATGCTGCACGGAACTCTTTCTCATTCTTCCTTTTACTCATTGTATGCATGGGATATGGCGTCGTCAAGCCCACTCTTGGGCGTACCATGATATATGTGCGATGGCTCGCGGCTGCTCACTTTGTCTTTGGTCTGGTCTATTCCATCACCAGTCTTGTTGTCTCACCTGAAAGTGCCGGTATGTTGAGCGATAAGAAAATTCTGCAGATATCACACTGCCGTAGGGATTTCCGCTAACCTGCCGTTTAGGCCCATTTGTTCTCCTCATTGTCCTACCTCTGGCCGGAACGCTGACAGCATTTTATGTGTGGACTCTCAACTCTCTCAACTTCACTCTGAAGGATCTTAGACAGCGGAAGCAGCATGCAAAGGAGGCTATGTACAGAAAACTTTGGTGGTCGATTCTTATCAGCATTATTGTCATCTTTGCCTTCTTTTTCTTCACAAGCTTCACTTTCGCCTCCATAAATGATCCCGACTTTGTTCCCAATCATTGGAAATCACGGTGGTTTGTCCTGGATGGCTGGCTAAACATTGTCTATTTTGTAGACGTTGCATTCGTCGCCTACGTATGGCGCCCTACCGCTAACAATCGTCGTTTTGCTATGAGTGATGAGATAGCTCAAGATGACGATGGGAACTTCGAGATTGGTGACATTGGCGTCCCCGACGATTGGGATGATGATGAAGAGGCCGAGGCTGGCAAGAATCAGCCTCACCCACCACCTATCACCGGAATTGCCAGTTCTGCTCCGACTCAACCGAACAGTCATCAGCAGAACTCCACGCGGAGCATCCCGCGAGAGTCTATTGATGGGGAGACTATTTTTGCTGTAGGGGAGGACGGCGACAGGTTGTCAGATGATGGAAGTGACGAAGAGAATGCCAAGCTTGTACGAAAATAAGTAATAGACTCAGAAGGCGTCATTGATTGCACGGGAGGGAATTTGGTCATGCTTTCTCCTAGATTTCTTATAGTTCCAATTTATTATGGTAATATTACGACTATCTAGGTCAAGCTTGCTCTGGAGCCAGTGACTCACATCAGTCTATACTCCAGCTTTGCACTATACAATGGGTTTTACATTGCCTTGCATGAAACCTCGATCATACAAATATACTACACGGGTCATGAACTTGGTCGAGCTACCTGGATAAAACATCGCCCCCAAATCCTACAGGGCGTCTTCGACCATCATTCTCAGGCAAAATGGCAAGAGCTTTATAAATTTTGCCCATCCCGCTGGGTCCTCGATCGACAAGTCGCTTCCATGACTTTCTAATTCTCTGCGCCGTTGATTCATCGGTGCCTGCAGCCTTGATGAGCATTTCTGCCCGCTCTCGTATGCCCATAAGCTCAAGGAAATCGGCTTGTGGCACTGGGCCGTGAACCTCAACTCCGTCACTGGCCAGGGTAGCAGCTTCGGCAATGGCTGTAAAGTCCACATCGGCACTCAGGTCGACAAGGCCTGGCGCTGAGAAGGGACTGACCAGCTTGTGGTGTCGGATACCTCTCAGGGAGTTAATTGGGATGGTGTCGGATGTGCCGTAATCCAAAATTAAAGCAGCACCACATGGTTGCGGCTTTTTCACCTTGTCAGAGCCACCGATGCGAGCGGCAAAATCCGCGGCATACAGAGAGGCGTCGGGACATATTTCGACCACAGAGCCTGGGGACTGCTTGAGTTGTCGGTACCTTGGAGACGACTCGGGAAGGTAGCGAGAATGCCTGGTAGGCTTCGAAGAGAGAATGAGCTGAAACTCTGCGGCAGAAGTCTCCCTACCAGCTGCCTTCGCTTTTGCTTGATCTGAAGCAACCTCGGCAGGGTGCGTGGGCGAAACCATCATTTCTCGCCACTCGTACGCCGGCGACGAGTTTGCTTCCGTGGGGGAAGGTTTGACCGTCGATGTGCGGGTTGATGCTGTCTCGGGGGTTGATGCCGGTGCCGGAGCCGATTGAAAGCAGTGAATCGGAAGGGCATCAAAGAACTCGTGTGCCACAATGAATGGAACTTTGTTGGGTTCTACCAGCAAGTTTGGTTACGGAAAAAGTTTCTAGAAGGCAGACGCAGGAGCCAGACTTACCAATTGGAATTGACTTTAGGCTTTCGGCCCATACGACGGGCTTCCCTAAATGTTTTCCTGTGCTGCGAGAACCAGCTGCACAGTCTTCGGACGGGGCATCAGAGCCGCAAAGAAGCGTTTTCTGCTTCTCCCGAAGCTCTGGACTTGCCTCGACCATGAAGACCGATTCAATGCTGTCAACCATGGCGGGAAAGCGTTTTATGGTCTGGGAAAAGACGTCTTAGAGTTGCCGGTACAATGTACATATTGGTGCAATAAGGCTATCAATAGTAAAGACGGCTTGGGAAGTGGCAAATGCGAACTTACTCGCAGCATGTCATCCATGAGCGTACCGCGACCAGGTCCAACCTCGATCAACTGAACTCCCTGTTTAGGCTGGCCCTGGCTGATCCATTCGGCGATAAACCACACGCCAACTAGCTCACCGAATATCTGAGAGATTTCAGGGGACGTGACGAAGTCTCCCTTGACGCCGAACTGGTCGCGATTCTGTCCGATTGCACCGGTATAATAACCGCCCAGATCTCCAGTCAAACACATGCGCATGTAGCTCGCCAACGGCACTGGGCCCGTCGTCTATAGGGCGGTTAGCAATGACCTTGATGGCGCGGCGTCATGCTAAGCTGAGCCAAGGCTGTTCCGTGAACCTACCGATATAGCTTCGAAGAGCTGCTTCGCCAACGGCGTTGACCATTGTCTGTCCTGCCCAAGAAAAGAGGTAGATGCCGAAAAGTTCCTTGTAGCTAGAGATGTCTGCAGTTTTGAAGCGCAACGTTGACTAGGGGATGAGACGGCGCATTGACGTGAGATGCGCTGGAGACCTCGACAGGTCACTGCAGCTAATATCGATCTCATGAATAGATCCCACAAACGTTTACTGCAAATAAATTTGGAATTGAGCAGCTGACCTCTTCCGACTTTTCCTGCTGCGTGGCCTGCGATGGGCGTCGTGGATAAGGTTATTCGACCTGAACTTTTGGAGGTCGTCGCATCTGGAGCTGCGATAAGATAAAAGACGGGGGAGAGATGGATGGATAACGAGCGACCGCCGGAGCTTCGCCGCCCCGCGCCCTTTTGTAGTGCAACACCTTTTTATTGTATATTCATCCTTCCATTTGTGTTCCTACATACCTGCTGCTTCTCTTTCCTCTAGGGTTATCGGGATATAAGCGTTTTCGAATATTCAATTGCCCGAGTTTCAATCTCTCCAAAGAATTTACCGAACCGCAAAACGACAGAGCCCCGTACAAGTCCGCCCAAGCTCAAACCAGGCTGTTGCTCTTTTCTTTGTTTTTGTTTTTTCTTTTCGGGCTCGCCGTCATGACCAGCAAGGGCAAGTCGAGATGGGCAGACACGGAGGAAGACGCCGAGTTAGACGCAAGGCTGAAACAGGAAAAAGAAGAGAAGCGTCGGAAGAAGGCAGAGAGGGCGCGTAGGATTGAGGCAGACAAACAAACGGCGCTTGCCGCATCATCTTCACGAGGCCCGGAGTCGGGTCGCGACAACGAGACTGACAGACCGTCCAAACGACGCAGAGTCACGCCCGAGACCGGAGAGAACACGACACAGGGAAGCACCAGCAGCAGCGACCCCAAGCCAATAAAGCTCCTGCGGTTCGAGGATACGGGGACTTGGGGCAAAAGTCGCAGTGTTGACAACTACGACAAGCTCAACGATATCGAAGAAGGCACATACGGTTGGGTCGCAAGGGGAACAGAGCGTGCCACTGGGAAAATCGTAGCACTCAAGAGGTTGAAGCTTGAGCCGTCGGATCGAAATGGTCTGCCGGTGACGGGGTTGCGAGAGATTCAGATCTTGCAGAACTGTAAGCATCGCAACATCGTGCATTTAGAGGAGGTTGTCGTTGGCGAGCATACTTCCAAGCTGGACAAGTGAGTCTGCATCCCCGAAGGTCCCTTGCCACTCGACCACAGCGGCCCTTGTGCGTGCCCTAACGCCCATCCCGGCAGCTCCGTATTCCTCGTCCTCGAGTTCGTCGAACACGACCTCAAGGGCATCCTCGAAGACATGCCCGAGCCTTTCCTCTCATCCGAAGTCAAGCGTCTCCTCCTACAACTAACGTCGGGCGTGTCCTACCTGCACGAAAATTGGATCATCCACCGTGACCTCAAAACGTCCAATATCCTTCTAAACAACCGTGGCCAGCTCAAGATTGCCGACTTTGGCATGGCTCGCTACGTCGGCGATCCGGCCCCCAAACTGACTCAACTCGTCGTGACATTGTGGTACCGCGCCCCGGAATTGCTCCTGGGCACAAAGACGTACGACGCAGCAGTCGACATGTGGAGCGTGGGCTGTATATTCGGCGAGCTCATCACGCGCGAGCCCTTGCTTCAGGGCTCCAACGAAGTGGACCAAATGTCCAAGATCTTCGAATTGTGCGGCGTGCCAACTGAGGAATCGTGGCCCGGGTTTCGAAAGCTCCCCAACGCGCGAAGCTTGAAGCTTCCCAAGACCGGGCTGTCCACCGGGTCCGTTGTGCGAGCACGATTTCCCAGCATGACCACCGCCGGGGCGAGCCTCTTGAATGACTTGTTGGCTTTGGATCCAGACCGGCGGCCGTCGGCAAAGGAGATGCTCAGCCACGAATACTTCCGACAGGATCCTAAACCGAAGCCTGAGAACATGTTTCCGACATTCCCTAGCAAAGCAGGCCAGGAGCGGAGACGTCGACATGAGCCAAATGCGCCCGTCAGAGGACAAGCAGTCGCTTTAGGAGATGTTGACCTGAGCGGCATCTTCCAGGGGCGGGACAAGGAGGAGCGTGGAGCTGGCTTCACACTGCGAATGGTGTAAAGGTTATGAAAGTCGTATTGAAGACTTCTTGGCCAGATATATTTTGGTTGAGGCTATTGCTTTTTGTCTACTGCATCGCTACCATGATACTCCAGGCAAAACACGAAATTTTGATTCTACTGATGATGTTATTTCGAAGCGCCAAGACGTCATGTTGAAATATCGATTGGGATTTAATCATGGAGACACAAGCATTGTCCAATGGGCAGCTAAAAAAATAAAAATTAATTAATGCATCTAGCTTCATTAGAAGATGTATACCAAGTCCAACTCCACCGGCCATAAATCAGTACACCCTAAGCCGAAAACCCAATTTCCAAAATGACTCGCCCTGTATTTCCTTCCTCCAAAGTAAATGCTGCAAAGACTTCAAATGCCCGGCCATAAGAGTACCCAAAACGAGAATACATATGTGTAAGAAACAATAAAATCAGGCTTCAGCTTAAATTTTCATCCATTTCTTTCAATCAACGCCCGGCATCAAGCAGGTTTGCGACAGCTGCAAACGAGACAGTTTCCGTCTTTGAGTCTCGACCAATAAAGTCGGTCAAAAACGTCGAAACGGCATTTCTAGAAGGATATTGCCTCTGTGCAAGATCCGGCAAGATTCTCTCAATGTAATCCTAAACCGGCGACAAACCAAGTAAAGCTCAGGAACGTTACAATGCTTGTGATAATAGCAAGACCAACAGCTTGACGGTCAAAGGCCGAAGAAGCAGCACTGCAAGTCCCCGGGCAAGTCCAGTCAGCATAGGGCGTGTATGGCTGGCCAGTGTACATGCCGAATGTATAACTAGTAAATGCACCAAGATAACCGGCTTCGGGAGCCTGGGTAATGCTGGCGTCTGAATCCTTGACAATTAAGGTGTATTGCTGAACACCCAGTGGGCTTTGGATGTCGTTGGCTTGCTTTTTGGTGTCCCACACGTAGCTGACTGCGGTTGAGAAGGACATGTTGCCAGTCAGGGTCCAGGTCTCGCTTGCTGCGGAACAACTGACAATGACATCAATGGCAGTCGGGGTTCCTAGCAGCGAGGTGTAGTTCCAGGACCAGGTAACGTAGTCACTAATCTTGTATAGCCCACTAGGCTGCAGATTAGTATTAGGTGTCTGCATGCTGATACCGGCTGGGGGGGCATCCGCGGAAAACTGAGTGTGCGTCGCGGTTGCCTTCTTGGTTGCAGTGGCAACAGTGCCGGACTTTCCAGTCTTTGTCGGCTTTGCGGTATTCAAGTCGCCAGTTGTTTTGCCGCCGGCTTGGGAACTCGCAGCGTCTGTTGCGGATGCTGATACTTCTGGTAGGGATGTTTGAGAAGGTTCTTTTCCAGTAAGTACTGAAGCCTAGGGTTAATAGAATAAAACAATCACGGCGGGAGCAACATGAATAAGTGAAAGTGTGGTTGATTAATGGACAGGGCTTCACCACACTTGTAGAACATACCAGAAGTTTGGCCAGAGTCGCTACTACTATCGGCTCGTACGATGAGGGCATCTAGCTCGGGTAGCCATCGTGGCCATTCTAATGCCGAGGCAACAGAGCCACAGGTTGAAAGGCACAGGGCCAGTTGCACCAAGGACTGAGCAGGACGCATGACGAGTATGTGTTGCTGGGGGTGGACAGTCAAGTGAAACGAAGCTGCAACGGCCCAGACGCTAATAACGTCAAGCAATCACGGCTGGTAAAAGATAGTCGACGCAAGAATATGACAACTCCAATAATTGACCACGAATGACACTGGATAAGGAATACTTTTCTTTCGTTGACAGCGAAGGCGGTTCAAACGGTCGGGGCGGTGATGGCAACGGGGGGAGACTGGCTGAACGTTGGTCGACGCGGAGCAAAGTTTCGGGGAGAGGAACGAGACGAGTGGGAGGCAGAAGAAGCGAGTGTCGGGAACGAATCTAATCGGAAAGCAAGTGCAGCAAAAAGCGAGAGACAAAAAAAAGAGTGACGAGGCAAGAGTCGTCGTCTCTTTTTTTTTCCTCGGTTCGGGTTGACCGGGGGAGAGTTGAGCAAAAGAGAGGCAGATGAGGACAGGGTGGTGGTGGGAACCAACGAGGGTGCGTGTGAGTAAATGTGAGAGGAACCCCGATCTCTGGGGCCAACTGGCAAATGCACGTGTGGCCAACCAGGCGACGAACCAGAGCAACCAGTCAGCCCCTAAAGGCTCTACTAGCTGTGGTGCTGTGCACAAAGAAATGTTCAGTGTTAAGACTGTTGACTCCCGAGCCGTACAGTTGACCGGGCCACTGAGTGAGCCGCCAACAGCCACTGGACGGACTGGGCCTACTTGACGAATGCATCCACCACGGCACGAGCCAGGCGGTGCCTCCTGTGCACTTGGCCCAAACAGGCGTAGCTTCATCGTACTTAATTAGAAATTGCCCCACAATAACATTTGCATTCACGATGGCTTGAAGCACTGCAGAACTCCGCATGGGGACCGGGCTGTTTTTCGAGGGTTTTTTTGTTTCCGGGCCAGGACAGGCACAGCTTTGGCTGGTAATGATAACCCCAACTGCGTTCCAAGTGATAATACTAGCCGAGGGCAGTAGGTGACTGAGGATTCAGGAAGGACCTCGCTGGATTGCACTGTCCATGATGCATTTTTCCCTCGGCCACCTCGAGCAGATGCTTGGCTTGCGCCGCCCGCCCGCAGCATGTCTGGTAGCAAAAATAACAATAGACCAGACCTATTTAGAACGGTTTGAAGGGGCGTGGTGGGTGGCCACAGACGCCAATACGGTGCACGTGACCTCGTGTTTTGAACTCGGCCCTCTTTTAACGTATCATGCCTCTCTCATCTCTCATGCATCCCTTTGAGTGTCACCGTGTCACAGTGTGCGCAGGTGCCAGTTATGTATAACGTGCCACCCCACAACATCGTCAGCCCCCTATTTTCGTTATATCTAGGGCTCTATCATAACACATTAAAATTAAGGCATTTTTCAACGAAAAGAGCATATATTAGCTATTTACAGCTAGAACGTAAATTCTATATTAGACTAATTTATACCTGTAATTTTAAGGGTATTTTCTTTAATTATATAGCTATAACGTTCTTTATAAAGAGCTATTATATAATTAGCTTTAACTTTAACTTTAATAATATTAAAGATAATAATAAAGGCTTAATTAAGGTCTTTTTTAATAGCCTTTTAATTAATAGGCTTTAAAGCGTTAAATTTAACTTTAAGATATTTATTTTTAATAAATAAGGTTATAATAAAGCTATTCTTTTAATTAAGGCTATAATTAACCTTTAAAGCTAAGGTTTAATATTCGTAATTAATACTATTAAGATTATAGTATAATATATTTACTTAAGCTTAAATCTCTTTATTATTATAAGGCGTTTATTAAACCTATTATTTATTAATTTTCTGCTTTTTTAGTGTTATAGGCTCGTTTTTATTATTATCTTTAATAATAGATTAAAGAGCTCTTTTAATATTAATAGAAAAAATACTAGTAGCTTAAAATTTAGCTTAAATATTTATTATTATAAAGGCCTTTTTAAAAGCTTTCTTATAAGCTTAAATAAATCGCTGTTTTTATCGTAGTAATAAGATATTAAAATTAATAATACTAGCTTACTATTAATAATAGTAGGTTTTTAAGAGCCTAAAAACGCTTATATTTTATAGCTAGGTAATATATAATATCTTTACTAGAAGAAAAAGAAGCTATATATAATTAATATAAGCTATATATATTAATTTAATTAATACCGAGGCCCATGCGGTGCATGCATAGCTGCATCACTTGGTTACACCTGCATTAGTCCCAGGGCTGCATATCCAGTTTGCTGACTAACGTGTCACCCCACAACATCGTTAGCCCCCCATTTTCGTCATATCCAGGGCTCTATCACAACACATTAAAATTAAGGCATTTTTCAACGAAAAGAGCATATATTAGCTATTTACAGCTAGAACGTAAATTCTATATTAGACTAATTTATACCTGTAATTTTAAGGGTATTTTCTTTAATTATATAGCTATAACGTTCTTTATAAAGAGCTATTATATAATTAGCTTTAGCCTTAACTTTAATAATATTAAAGATAATAATAAAGGCTTAATTAAGGTCTTTTTTAATAGCCTTTTAATTAATAGGCTTTAAAGCGTTAAATTTAACTTTAAGATATTTATTTTTAATAAATAAGATTATAGTAAAGCTATTCTTTTAATTAAAGCTATAATTAACCTTTAAAGCTAAGGGTTAATATTTATAATTAATACTATTAAAGTTATAGCGTAATATATTTACTTAAGCTTAAATCTCTTTACTATTATAAGGCGTTTATTAAACCTATTATTTATTAATTTTTTACTTTTTTAGTATTATAGGCTTATTTTTACTATTATCTTTAACGATAAATTAAAGAGCTCTTTTAATATTAATAGAAAAAATACTAGTAGCTTAAAATTTAACTTAAATATTTATTATTATAAAGGCCTTTTTAAAAGCTTTCTTATAAGCTTAAATAAATCACTGTTTTTACCGTAATAATAAGATATTAAAATTTATTAGCTTACTATTAATAATAGTAGGTTTTTAAGAGCTTAAAAACGCTTATATTTTATAGCTAGGTAATATATAATATCTTTACTAGAAGAAAAAGAAGCTATATATAATTAATATAAGCTATATATATTAATTTAATTAAAATATATAATCTAGTATTATTTAAAATAAGAATATACTATAAGAAGAGGTTTTTAAGCGTTATTTCTAGTAAAAAGACCTCTTTAAACTATTTTATTATAATTTAGGTATTAATTTAACTAGAATTATTATAAGTAAAAGCTTAATATAAAAATAGTTAAGAAACTATTACTCTTAAAGCTTTAAGCCTTTTAAGATAATTATAAGCTTAATATAATAACTTATAGCACTTATATATTTAAGAATTAAAGCTTACTTATAAGAAGACCCTATTACTCTTATTAAATATCTAATAAGGCTACTTTTAATAACCTTATTAGCCTTAAAATTCCCTTTTATAATATTAGTTTTATTAAAGTTATAAATTTAAGTTAACCTAATTAATTAAACCTTAATTAAATAATTAAAAAGGTTATAAAAAGCTTATATTTAATCTTTTATTACGTTAAGGGTTCTTTTAAACTTAATATCTTATAATACCTTTATTTTAACCTTTAAGTTACGTTAAAGAAAGCGGTTAACCTAATACTTTTTAATTAAGTTACTATTATTACCTTAAGTTATAAGAACTTATATAATAGCTTAAACGTTATAATAGCTAAGCAGAGCATTTAACAAAAAAACTACACTACATGTAG